GTCATTTAATTTCTTGACTGCTGCTCCCATGAGTGTTGATAGTGGAGCTAAGCAAAATGAAGTCTTTGAAACTTCAATCTTTTCTCCATTTTCATGATACTATTACAACAATTTATTGGTCCAGCTGTGAGGTTTTTTGTTTTCTTTAGATTGAGGTGCAAGCCATACTGAAGGCTGTGGTCTTTGATCTTTATCAGTAATATTTTAAGTCCTTTTCACTTTTAGCAAGCAAAGTTGTGTCATCTGTGTATCTTGGGTTGTTAATGAGTCTTTCCCCAATCATGATGCCATCTTCTTCTCAGATTATTTGCTCAGCATACAGATTAAATAAGTATGATGAAAGAATATAACCCTGGCACACACTTTTCCCGATTGTAAACCATTCGGTGTCTCCTCATTCTGATAGAATGGCTATCTTTTGGTCTATGTATGGGTTCCTCATGAGCACAATTAAGTGTTCTGGAATACCCATTAGTCACAGTGTTACCCACAACTTGTCATGATCCATACAGTTGCAAGCCTCTGCATAGTCAGTAAAGCACAGATACAAATCTTTCTGGTATTCTTTTCTTTCAGCCAAGATTCATCTGACGTTAGCAATGCTATCCCTTCTTCTATTTCCTTGTCTGACTCTGGGTTGAATCTCTGGCAGTTTCCTGTCAATGTATTGTTACAGCCATTTTTAAATTATCTTTAGCAAATTTTTATTTGCATATAATATTAATGATATTGTCCAATTAATTATGCATTCAGTTGGGTCATCTCTCTTTGAAATAGGCAAACATACGGATTTCTTCCAATCAATTGGTCAGGTAGATGTCTTAACATTTTCTTGGCATAGGTGAGTGAGTGCCTACAGTGCTGCATCAGCTTGTTGAAAGATTTCAATTTGTAGTCCATTAATCCCAGGAGCTTTGTTCTTTGTCATTGCCTTCAGTGCATCTTGGACTTCTTCCTTCTCATCTCTATTGCTGGTTAAAACTAGAAATTTCAAAAGAGAGCTGTTGCGATTAAATGAAATCACACATTTGAATCATCCAGTCTTGAAGCAGTGCATTGTTGCTACCTCCCTTTCTTTCTCGTCTTTCCTACAATCTTCACAGTCTCTGAGTGCCAGGATACAGTATTATTGTCGTTGTTGTTAAATACTGTAGTTCCGACTCATAGTGACCCTGCACAAGGTTTCCGAGGCTGCAAATCTTTGCGGGAGCTTTCGAAAGCCTCATCTTTCTCCCACAGAACAGCTGGCAGTTTTGAACTGTTGACCTTGAGGTTAGCAGCCCTATTTGTAACAACAACACTACCAGAGCTCCTTAGGATACAGTATAAGGATCACTAAAGAAGATGAAAAGGAAGGAAAAAATGTGAAAGTGAATGAGGGGTTAAACAGCCATGCCTGAGGGATCTAGAATGGAGACTGCACATCACCATCACTGCTCAGGGCAGGGGTTAGCAAGGGTGTGGTCATCCAGGCTTTCATTACATGAGGAGTTGGTGGGCTCTATCTTTTGTTTTTAAGAGAGAGAGGATAGAAAATGAAGGCTGTGGAGTATAGGAGGAAGGGTAAATGTTTAAGTGGAGCAGGACAGGTAGAGAAGGGAAAGAAAAGTAAAGTCAAGTGGGGCCAGAGCTGGAAGAAACTATAACTTGTGTAGGTCAGAAAGATTGTTGGTTTCCCTGAAATGAAGCTGCACCTCTACTCAGAAATGAAGTCAATGTACAAATGGTTGTCCCTCTTTATTTTCTGTCCCTTAAAGCACTGTATTAGAGATATCCATATGTAAATATACCTGAATTTATGGAAGGTGACTTGCATATACTGCTGTAGGAGGGGAAGAGGTGTGGTTGTTAGGGGCTTTTGAGTCTGTTCTGACTCAGAGTGACCTTCTGCACAACAGAATAAAACACTGTCTGGTCCTGGACTAACCTCACAATTATTGTTACACTTGAGCTGATTGCTGCTGCCACTGTGCCAATCAATCTCATTAGGGGTCATCCTCTTTTGCGTCCTTCACTTTGCCAAATATGATTTCCTTCTCCAGGGACTAGTCCCTCTTGATAATATGCCAGAAGTTTGAGAGAGAAAGTCTGGCCATCTTGACTTCTAAGGAGCATTCTGGCTGTACTTCCTTCATCATGGCTCTGTTTGTTCTTTTAGCAGTCTATGGTACCTTTAATATCTTTCTCCAACACAATAACTCAAATGCATCAGTTCTTCTATGGTCTTCTTTATTCACTGTCAAACTTTCACATGCATCTGAAGTTATTCAAAATGCCATGGCTTGGGTCTGGTGCACCTTAGTCCTCAATCTGACATCTTTGCTTTTAAACACTTTAAGAGGTCTTGTGCAGCAGATTTACCTAATGCAATATGTTGTTTGCTTTCTTGGCTGCTGCTTCCATGAGTGTTGATGATTGATCCGAGCAAAAGGAAGTCATTGACAACTTCAATCTTTTCTCAATTTATCATGATATTATTTATTGGTCTAGCTGTGAAGATTTCTGTTTTCTTTACAATGAAGTTCAACCCACACTGAAGGGTGTGGTCACTGATCTTCATCAGTATTTTAAGTATGTTAAGTTGTCTTCCCTTTCCGCAAGCAAGGTTGTATCAGCTGCATATGGCAGATTGTTAATGGATCTTCCGCAATCCTTATACCACAGTCTTTGCATAATCCATTTTCTTGGATTATCTGGTCAGCATACAGATTGAGTAAGTATGGTCAAAGAACACAGCCCTTGCACACACCTTCCTTGATTTTAGACCTTTTTCAGTATCCCCTTTTCTCATTTCTTACAACTGCCTCTTGGTCTATGTACATGTTCCTCATGAACACAATTAAGTGTTCCAGAATACATGTACTTATACTAAATTCCAAAGGTAAGGTGGAACTATAAAAAGTATTGGAGAAATGTGTTCTTGGAAACTAACTACTGGTACTTGTTTTTGCTATTAAGTGGGCTGAGTTGGTTCTGACTCCAACTCATGGCGATCCTTTAATGGGTTTCAGAGGTAGATGTATTGCACAGCAATACATTTTGATATTTACATTATAATCTATAAAATGATGCTCTGGGTACTGAAAACATAAGTAGTAAAAAAAAAATTTTTTTTTTTTTTTAAATGGAATCTCCTAAATTTGAATGATGACTTTGAGGCTTTGTAGCCACTGTCAATTTCTTAACTACAGAGCTGTAAATGCTAGCAGGATAATTTCAAGCAAGACCATCCAAACTATAATTCAAATCATTGCTAGAGTTTGGAAGTACATTGTTTCAAAGACTTTTATTAAATTTTGTGATACTGCATAACTTTGAATAGACCATTCTGTGGTTAGGACAAATAAAGTTTTGTTAATACATTAAATTTTAAGAAATTTGTATATTTTTAACCATTTTTAAACAAATTATTTATGAGAAAGGCACAAGAGGAAACCTCAGCTACTGTTTCTTTTCAAGAATATGTGTAAATATCAAATGTATTGCTGTACAATAATCTACCTTCAAATTATATCAACAAATTATTTCCCTGTCACCTTTTTCAAGACAACCTAAAATTATATTAATTGTACTTTATAGACGTTGTTGTTGTTGTTAAGTGCTGTTGAGTTGGTTCCGACCCATAGCAACCCTGTACAGGGTTTTATTTAAATTTCTTAAAGCATTTAAAAGGGTTTTGAAAAGAAAGTCTACTAAAATGACTGTGGCATGTTTAAGTAAATATTTTCCCCAGAGACTCATAGGATAATTTAACTTGAGAAAATGTGGGTAAACACATAGACATGATGCAAATAGTTTATCATGTCCTCTGATATCGTAAAGCCCTTTATAACATACAAAATCTATAGTGAATTTCAAGAAACCACTTTTCTAACCAACCGTGATGAATACTCCATGTTGTCGTTAAGTGCTATCAAGTCGGTTCTGGCTCATAGTGACCCCATATAGAGTTTCTGAGGCTTTCTAAATCTTTACGGGAGCAGAAAGCCTCATTTTTCTCTTGCAGAGTGGTTGGTGGATTTGAATTACTGACCATGTGGTTAGCAACCCGACACATAACCCATGACACCACGAAGGCTTCTTTGGATACTCACAGTTGCTGTTAAGTGCTGTCAATTCCGTTCCAACTCATAGCGACCCCCTATAGCATTTCTGAGGCCTTAAATCTTTGTGGAAGCAGAAAGTCTCATGTTTCTGCTGTAAAGCAGCTGGTGGCTTCAAACCACTGACTGTGATTTGCAATTCAGTGCTTCTCCTATAGCGCCACTCCATTCTCTTTGATACTCAATAGTGTTAATGAATTGTTAAATAGTACACTCAGAAATCTAAGGAATAAAAAATACACAACCCACTTTTTTCCTAATCTTCTACCTTTTGCTCCATTGCCCCGAAATGAGTTCACAATTGAGTTTATAGATCAAAAGATGTTTTTCTACAAATAGTCACACACTTAGCTTGAATTATGCAGAGATTTTCAGAAAAGTCAACATTTATTTAGTCTAAAGAACTTTAGGTTTGAACTGATAGAGCAATCAGTAGTTTATCTAATCCTGAGACAGACTAGCTATTCCATGTAGGAACTTCGGTTTTTGAAAGAGCTCTGCTGGCGGCAATCAAAACCCAAGAGGGAACTTAATAAAACAAGAAAATGGTGACAGAAAAATACACTTGCAAGGTTAATCTGATTGATTGCAAACATTTGGGAGGTTTTAATTGTTTCTGTATAACCACAGTTCTGGGGCAGCGTGGTGACGCCATACGATTAGCACTGGACTGTGAACCACAATGTCCAAAATTCAAGGAGAATCCAATCCTTGGTAGAAAGATGAGGGTTTCTGCTCCTGTGAAGATGTTAAGCCTTGGAACCCCTGATAGAGGGTCACTATAAGTAAGAACCAACTCGGCAGCATGTAATTTTTAACCACAGTTCTGATTTCAAATAGACTTCTGTGTAGAAATTTGCACTTACTTGTCAAGCAAATACATATTTGCTCCAAAGATCACACTGTTAATTTCTTTTGCTATAAAGTGGCAAAAGATGAAAAAGCAAAGTTAACTTTGCTGCCTTATTATGAAAATAGTTGTGTTCACACCCTTGGATTATTTGATTACCTGTGAATATCTCCATCTCTGGCATTTTGTCCCAGTTGCCTGAGGCAAATCTGGCAAAATGTTTTCCAGGTGCCTGATGATTACTTCCTGCACATCCTCAGTGCTGCGCTCCAAGTATGTAACTCCAAATGGGACAGTGGTGTGAATCACCAGGCAAGGCCCAATGTCCGCAGTCTCTGTGGTATAAAACATAAACAAAAAGATACATAAAGTGACTAACATGAAAGCATCTTCTTGCATTTCTGCCCAAGTTCAAGGATTAATCACAATAATCTGCCAATAAATGGGATGGGGGGAGCCTTAGATTCTAGTCTTTAAAGCAAAAAATTAAGCTATTTCTGAAATTCAAAATTAACCTTCTTTCAGGAAGAAGACAAATTCAAGATATATTTGAAGATCACATTGTTAGGTCTTAATAAAGAATTGCCAGGAGGGTAGGAAGAGCACGTGATACTTACTGTCTCAGGTGTGCTTTCTGGTATGTTTGTCTTCTCTTATGCACTAAATTGGAATCCTGATGTGGCGCCACTGGATAAGCACTAGGTCAGTTTGAATGGCAGGGTTGGTGGTTCAAACTCACCTGCTGCTCCTTGGAAACCCTATACAGAGTCGCTATGAGTTGGAACAGACTCCCTTCACTTAACAACAATAGTAGTGCACTAAATTGCAAGCTTTTCAGAGCAGGATCCATTTCTTAAACATAGTATTTATGCTTTAAAAATTTCTGAGAACAAAATAAATGTTCAATAAATTTCTTGTCTATTTTATTCATTTTAAACATTCAGAAATGTTTGAGAAATGTTTTATGTGAAATATGTTTTTGGAATCACCTTGATACTAAAATAAAATATTTTTAGCATTAAAAAAAAAATAAACTTCTCTCTGAAAACAGACACCCTCATAATATTCTTTCTTATATTTTGAGCAGATGAAAATTAAAAGTCTAACAAGGCGCTATTTTGAGCTATATTTTATTTTCCATTGAATTTGGGGTTTTTTGGGCTATATTTTCTTAATTACAAATACTGAGTGTCTGCTTTGTAGCTTTAGTAGAATGTAAGGAAATCGAATGCAGTTAGAAGTTGAAAGCAAAGTGGCTGGGGCATTAGAAAACAGAATCTTGCAAAGAATGTTAACAAGAGTTTGCCTATTATTTGTTTTACTCATGCAGAAATTTAAAGTTGAGAGGAAAACAGCAGTTGTTCTGAAACTCATGAAGTTAAATATGAAAGGTGGTATTCTTCCCTGCTAAAAGAGAATGTTAACATTTTGTAAGGCATTGAGGGGAGTCTGCAAGCCTAATTCTGAAAACCATTTAATTTGGGATTATAAAGAGTGAGACAGGTTTTTATTTGATGCAAGTCAGTACAATTTTAGGAGACTCTGAATTTAGACTTAAAGCCACCTTGGGAGAACGGTCTGGTGACTAGAATCCAAAAGATAAGTCTTGCAAAACCCTATGGAGAACAGTTCTACGCTGCAATACTTAGGGTCTCCAAGAGTCAGAACTGACCTAATGGCAACTGTTTGTCGGTTTTACACAGAAAAAGAGGCTGACTGACTTAGGTCACTTACTAGTTATGTGCCCACTTAACTTCTTTATATATACATTTTTTTCCCCTTAATAACATGAGAATCCATTGGTTGTTGCTGTTATGTGCCATCGAGTCAGTTCCAACCCATTACAACCTTATGTGCAACAGAGCACAACACTGCCCAGTCCTGAGATAGTCCCACAATTGTTGTTACGTTTTAGCCCATTGTTACGGCCACTGTGTCAATCCAACTTATTGGTGGTCTTCTTCTTTTTCATTGATCCTCCAATTTAAGGTCCCTATCAGATGAAGATACCAATATCTTAACTCCATCTACATCATTAAGATCAACTCTACTTAGAGGAGGCAGTTCTTCCCCAGTCGTATTTTGAATGCCTTCCAACCTGAGGGGCTGATCTTCTGGCACTCTATCTGGCAATGTTCTGCTGCTATTCATAAGGTTTTCAGTGGCTAGCAATTCAGTAGTGGTCTGCCACTTCTCCCTCCTAGTCTATCTTGATCTGGAAGCTCCACTGAAACCTGTCATGGGTAACCCTGCTGGTATTTAATACAAGTGGTATAGCTTGCAGGATCACAGCAACACATAACCCACCATGGTCCAATAAACTGACAGACAAGTGGTGGAGAGTTAGTTGTTGTTATTGTTAAGTACCATCAAGTTGGTTCTGACTCATAGCAACCCTGTATAGGGTTTCTGAGGAACAGCTGGTGAGTTTGTATTACCAACCTTGTCGTTGCCAGTCCAATGCTTTATCCTACAGTGCCACACCCACCATATAAGTCTGTGGTGGGATTAAGTAGCATAATGCACATGAAGTATTCAGCACAGCTTCTGGCTCAGCCATTGTTGTTGTTTTTGTTGTTGTTGTTGGGTGTCACTGAGTTGATTCTAGCTCATAGTGATCTTATGCACAACAGAAAGAAATACTATGCCATACTCACAACTGTTGTTACGATTGAGCCCATTACTGCTGCCACTGTGCCAATCCATCTTGCTGGGGGTCTTCCTCTTTTTTGCTGTCCCTCCATTTTACCAAGCATAATGTCCTTCTCTAGGGACTGGAGATAGCATGTTTGAAGTATGAGAGATGAAGTCTCACCATCCTGGCTTTTAAAGAGCATTCTGGCTATCCTTCCAACACAGATTTGTTTGTTCTTCTGGCAGTCTGTGGTACTTTCAATATTCTTCTCCAACACCATACCTCAAATGCATCAATTCTTCCACAGTCTTTCGTATTCCTTATGGCTTGGGTCAGGTACACCTTAGCCCTCAAATTGATATCTTTACTCTTGATCACTTTAGAGAGGTCTTGTGCAGAAGATTTGCCTAATGAAATAATGTCATTTAATTTCTTGACTGATACTTGCAAGAGTGTTGATGGTGGATTCAAGGAAAATGAAGTCTTTGAGAGGTTCAGTCTTTTCCTCACTTATCATGTTGTTATTTATTGGTTCAGATGTGAGGATTTTTGTCTTATTTACATTTATGTGCAATCCATACTAAAGGCTGTGGTCTTTGATTTTCATCAGTATTTTAAGTTCTCTTTGCTTTTAGCAAGTAAGGTTGTATCATCTACTCAACACAGGTTGTTAATGAGTCTAAATCCAATCCTGATGCCATGATCCTCTTCTGGCACACAGTGGTGGTAGTAGTTTTCTGTGTGCTGTGGAGTTGGTTTTGACTTATAACGACCCTATACATGGTTTGGAGGCTGTAAATTTTTATGGGAGCAGAAAGCCTCATCTTTCTCCTGAAAACAACGGGTAGATTCATTCTGTTCACCCTGTGGTTAGCAGCCCAACTCATAACCCACTATGCCACCAGAGTTCTTTTCTGGAACAGAGTAGGCGCTTAATAAATGCTAGCTATGGGAATGAGGCAATTCCCTGGAGGTGCCCAAATTATAGTTGAAGGATTTTTTGTGTTCTGTAAAAGTACTTCATTTTTCTATTGCTCTCAGTCTAGGGAACCTTGGCTAATGAATTTTACAGGAAAAACAAGAAAAGAAAGTTCCAAAATGCTATAAACATTTTAAAGTGAAGTGAGTGATTCTGAAAAGTTTCCCATGTATGAGGTGGGAGATCTGACTTCCCACTTTATTTACTGTGCAATAAATAAAACAGTTAGCCAGTTTTCACCTCACAGAATCTGGAACACTGTGAAAAAGTTCAACATTTAACTTCTCTGAAGACTTTCTGAAGCATACAATCTCATGTTCTTTCACTGAAAATCAGGATAGTGAGAAACTTACTGCACATTGACTCAGAATGTGTTATCTGTTATCAGCTAATACATCTGAGGAGTCCTGGTGTGCCACCTGAGTGAGGATAAACACTCAACCTCAAGGTCAGTTTGAATAGCAATGCAGGTCGGCGGTTCAAACTCACTAGCCACTCCTTGGAAACCCTATACAGGATTTCTGTGAGTCAGAATCAATTCAATGGCACTTATCAGCAACCACAATACTACCAGCTAGAATGTGTGCCATTCCTCTTTCATATGGTACCAAATCTTGCAGAGACAGAAAAAGTTACTGGGTCAGCATGCTGAAGCAGGGGAGTTGGGGTTCTGAGTTGACTATCTATGGCAGGATTCAAAGGAAAAAGAATGCCAGCTGCGTGCTGAGAATAATCAGGAGGTTGCACTGACCCAGCCCTTTGTTCTAGGGGAAACTCAGCAAGTCACTAAAGCCAGTGATGTAGCCATCCACTCCAAGGAGAGCAATTGAACAACAATGAGAAAATGACCTGGCTACTTGTTTTTATTGGAAACAGACAACATTTTTTTGAGAATGTCGATTAAAATTTGAATAGTTAACAGCCTAGAACAGTTGGCTTTGTGGAGACCTTCCCTACATCTTCAAGTTAAAGGGTATTTTTAAAAAGCAAAATCCAAAATACAAACAACAAACTGGAGTTTAAACATGTCCAAGGAATCCTGTGGGACAAAGCACAGGACCACAGGTTGGTTTGATCCACAAGGTCAACGGTTCAAACTCACCAGTCGCTTCTTGGAAACTTTATACAGGGTCGCTATGAGTCAGAATTGACTTGACAGCACTTAATGGCAACAACAATGAGGTTTGAAAAAGGACTATTATAAAAAGCCACAAACATGCTAAAAGTACTCAGAACCTAAACTTGGTATTATTCATTGATCACTGAGAAGGTAATGTTGCTCTTTTCTTTTGTTTTTCTTTTTCCCTTATTTGTTTTTTTAACAAGCATAGCCTTTTCTTTTTGACATTTAAAATGTAAAGTTCAGAGTAAGTTGACGACTGTTTCTATGTTTTGGGAGATTAATTACTTTAGAGTCAGAAGATAAGTATTTGAGCCCCTGAATTTCCCCTTAATAATCCAGGCTCTTGATCAGCTTAATCTCTCAGACTTCACGTTCTTCCATCAATTAAAAGGGAGTAATACTACTTATAAGGCTTTTAGAAGAATTAAACAGGTTAAAACACATGAAAGCCTTTCTTAAAATATAAATGTTACACAAATGTAAGGCACTCTTATACTGTTCTTGTTTTGACTTCATCACTGCAGAAAGAGCCCTTTAGAAATGGAGGGCTAAGTTGTCTTCTATCAAAGCATTAAAGTTTGATTATTAGACTACACTC